TAACTTGCTTTCTACCAATAGCTTGCTACAACACTTAGCTACTAGCTGACTCCCTCTTACTTCTCAGTTTCCTCACGGCTGCCTTACATCCTACCCGAGAACATAACATTAAAAAGATTACACCGGCAAGGGAGTGTAAAGAACATCTTCCAAAACGGCAAGTTCATTGAAATACAAAACCCTTCAAGAACATCTGCACATCGAGATTCACGAGCACAAAATGAGAGCACACATATGAGAGCATATGGGAGCACATATGAGAGCACATGAGAGCACACATCGGAGAGCACAAATGTAAGAGCACATACAAGCACAAATCTGAGAGCACATAGGCGAGTACATAAGAGCATTTCGCAGTTGACAATGTACCGCGCCCTTAACTCTTACCGTAAGAACCCCTTAGTGCGGAGCACTATTTGGGGAAAAAACATACAAACGCAGACACAAGCAAGAAACACAAGTCTTTCAAGTGAGACTGAGGTGTTCTTCTACAAGCTCCTGGCAGAGAGCTATGTCTCTAGCGTGGGAGTGTCTTGGATAGTGTTGGAGGAGGTCTGAGGAGGCTCAATGGTTCGACTCAATGATGTACGTTTGCTTTTGCAGCCTTTAGCAAAGAACGCCAGCATCCCTCAGAAATAAATGCATCAAATATTTTTCTTTACTTGCAAGTTGCTGCGATGGTTGCAATGGTGGAGGCTTGGCCAGGCCAAGGCAGCCTCGGTAGGTTCAATGAGTCGTCCCTTCACTCCAAAGTTTCAGAATCAAGTTGAACTGAGGTGCCTTTTTCCATCGTGAAACCGTCTTTGTCTCAGTGTCAGACAGCGGGTACTCATTGATACCTCATGTGTATGTTCTTAGCTCTCGAGCCAAAACGCTTTTGCAACTATAGCGACAGTGGGCCTGCTGCTTTTGTTGTCTCGTGTGAGAGTGAGGGCGATCCAGCAAATATATATATATATACATACTGTACACAGTAGAACTTCCTGGGGGGTGAGGAAAGCTGGGATCATCCCAAGAAAACAAAAAATAACAAGAGATGGAAAAAATAAGGTAAGGCCTCTTGTCCCCTTTTCTGCATTTTTCAGATTTTTGGCCAAGTCCGATTGGTGTTTGGCAGATTCCGAATCCAGGTGCGGCTTGTGTGACGATGCTGGAGGGGAACGCCACCTTATGGCTGGGCATGACGAGACTCGAAAGGAGTTTTTTATTTCCAAAGTGCATTGACTAAGGTGGGCATTGGCCGTTTCTTTTTTCCCCAAAATGGTGCCCATTGCTATGAAGAATACCTTCACTTCTTTATGGAGCACTCACCCGAGCAATCTATGCACGCGAGAAGTGTTGCTCTTTCTGTTACATTTTTGGCCTCCCATCTTTGATCTAATTTGCTTTACACTTTACACTACCTCAAGTAGACATGGAAGTGGACAATGGCCCCTTGGATGACCATTTTCCTCTACAAACAAGTGGTTTTTTCCACTTCGACCATTCTTTCAGGAAGTGTATAATGTTTCATACACCAACAATGTGGCCTTTTTCCACAATCGTTTAGAGCTTGTGGAGGAAGTAATTGCCACGAACAGTTTGGACAGGCTGGCCCAAGTGCAAGGCAGGCATGCAAAGAGATCCAAACAGAAGGGACTCGCGAAATGGATACTTACTTGGGCTGACGGTCTGATATAAACAACCATAAAGCCTTAGCAACATTTGTACAACTCGGCAACTAGAGTGGTGGCTTGTGGGTCATTTTGGTGACACACACACACCGGAGATGGGTGTGGCCCAAAAATTGTATCCAACCTGTCACAAGCTGTCACGGTCTCTCACGCTATCATTCCTGCCATGTGCAACCCACCAAGGACAGCGAAAATTGGTTTTCCGAGGGCTTCTACATGATTCCGCGTGCCTCAACAAGAACATGGATGAGGATAACAGATGGCCAAAACCTGTTCCACATTCGTCAAAGGATTGAAAGGATTGAGCGAAGAACTGAGAATCGGGATGAGAATGCAAGCAAGCACATCGCTATTCAGGTGCCGATGTTGCAAATGTGACCGCAATGGCCATGCTGCATGCACCTGCGGATGCAATGCGCTTTGATCTTTGCGCCAAGGCAAGTTGGACACAGACACCATACTTGTGTGGAATAGTTGGGAAGCTTTTCTTTCTTAGTCGCAGATGGTCACAGTAGGTCAGTGGAAGATAGGATAACTTAACAGTTACATGGTTATCAATCAGGTTGACGGTGAATGTGTAATGTGTGTTGATCAAGACCGGAGAGTCAATGAATGCAACACGCCCAGCACCAGGGACCTGCATCCGGATCTTCTGACTTTCAGGAGCTCTTGCAGGCCACAGTACTGCCACAGCTTGTTACGTCAATGTTTTGTGAGACTTTTCCGTGGGGCGGCTGATCTCTTTCTCACCAAAACTATTGGACACTTGTTTTACTTAAGTTTCCCCAAAAATCTAGGAACCAAGGGAATAGCGTGAGCTATAGCCTGCGTCCTACCTAGGAGCGTCCTGTACCTACTAGCTACCTCTCCCTTACTTGATTAAGTAGGCGCCTACTTAATTAAGTAGGGAGGGGGAGTGAGTGGGCAAAAAAATCCAACGTGAACTCGGAGACCTTCCTTCTGGTTTTGTGGGCTTCTCATTTTATGAGTCAAGAGTGGGAATCTCCGAGGCAGCTCTTCTTCCCTGGCAGCGTCAGCAGTTGGTCGTTTGAATGCTCCACACAGCTTTGTGGGTGGAATGGACATTTTGTCAAACTCAAATGGTATGATCTTCATGATGTGCTTTTGCAGTTATTTTGATGTGGCTTGTGGCGGCTTGTGGCTTGTTTGTGCACTGGTTCAACCAGAGAGAGTCGTCAGAGCTTAACATGGATGTCATGGTTTCACTGCCGGCGGAGCACTTGCTTTTCCGCGCTAGCGAAGCGCGCTTGTTTTTGCAAGTGCAAACCTTGCAAATCATGAGAAAAGCAAAAACAGTGGGTGATCTTGAATCTTGAGCTCATTTTCATGACTTCCAAAGCGCCACAAATGCATTCGAACGAAAGCTTTGTGGAACAAATAGGTCTGGGAGATCTTTGCCATAATTTGGTAAGGTGAAGTTCGGGCTGCTCGCTTCTCCCCAGATGGCAGCATGGTACTCACAGGCCAGATCAGCTTCAAGCCCAGTTTTCTCCGCAATTTTGCTGTCTTCTTCATTGCATCAATGACTAGTTGCACCATGTTAGGCCAAACTACACCAGTTGCACTGGTGCCAGATGTAGCAGCATTTTCCAGACAACGAGTCAGTATACTCAGCGTTGCCAACGTAATCAGTGTAATGCGTGCATCAAGCGTAGCCAGCGAGAAGCATCGCCACTGCCGCCCGCCCGTGGCTAAAAGTTTCCGAGCCCCTGCTGGCAGTTCTGAACTGTGAACACGGGCTGAGCTGATTGCACCGATTCCACCGGGTACACTGGCCTAGCATACTTAGCGCGTTGCCTGCCAGGGTGCCAGCGTCCGATCATTTGCAGATATGCTTTGCCATGCCGCTATCTGCTTCCTGGAAGAAGCTTGAGCTATCCTGCGTCCAGTAGCTAGTGTGGCTAGTTGGCCCTTACTTATAATTAAGTGGAGGCAGGGCACCTCGGGCAAAAAAAGAGAAAGGGATAACAAGACAAAACAGATACATAGTGAAGTACTACAGTAGATGGACCAAATATTCAAACCTATGTATCAATAACTGTCGCCAACCCCTGACCCCCAAAGGTCAATGTTGAACATAACTTGATTGAATTTGTGTTTCCAGGGTTTGATTTGTTTCGTCCATTCGCCGAAACATTCTTGCAAGACCTCCAACATTGAGCTTTGGGGTAGAAGGGGTCCACGTGGTTGAAAGGTTTTGAATATTTCGTCCATCTACGGTACTGGGTGTGGACGGCGACCGGAGACCTCACATGCGTGTGTTGTTTTCAAGTGATGCCGGGTGGTTCCAGCTACTGTTCTTACTGTTGCCATGTGCTGTGTCTGTTCCCAGTCCCTTTCCAGTGCGTTTCCAGTGCCTTTTCCAGTGCCTTTTCCAGTGCCTTTTGCACTTTCTCGTGGCCCTGCCAGCAAAAAAGTGTTTCTGGTAAGTTTTGTTGAAACAAAAAGATAAGCTATCTTTTTTTAGCAAAAAAGTGAGTCACATGGCAAAATCACTGGCAGGCGCACACAAACCGTGAAAAGGCACTGGAAAAGGCACTGG